ATTTGTGAAAAAAAGTCTTCTGTTAAAGACATTGGTACAAATGTATATGATTTCATATAATCCTTTTTTTTTATTATTTGCTGTAAAATTCCTTTGTCTTAATAGATAAATGTTAAATTGGAAAGGTTTTGATGTGTTCTTGACCTTTAATAAAGGTACAATTATATAGATCAGAAGTATAAATCCACACAACTCTTCCCATCCCTCTCTGTATCCATAAATGTATGTGATGTCCTTCATACTATCTAAATATCCTGCAGGAAGAGTTGTGCAACAGCAACATTCATCACTTTGAATGTGTCCACGAAGCTAGTGCAAAGGTGTATATTACTGAAACAAATGACACACCAGGGGGCAACATATCATAACTTTTATAGTGTATTTAATGACACTAACATTACCTTATATTGGGGCAGAAAAGTAAAAAATGATAAAGATACTGGTTAATTTTTTTTTCCGAAGGCTTTTGAAATGCAACCACGAATAAATAAATGTAAGCACAGGAAGTAGTTATGCTAATTTATTACAACCTACGGCTTTGTTACTTTTGTTCCAATAGGACAAATAAAGCATAAATGGAAACAAATTACTTTATTTTTGAAAAGAGAATAGTAATGTTAGAATACCGGTATGTTTAAAATATAAAGACTATAGGTTAATTTTTTTGTTTGTTTTATTTAAAGAGATTTGTTCGTTTTAATCGAAGTACCAACCCCGTCCTCTCTCTCTCTCTCTCTCTCTCTCTCTCTCTCTCTCTCTCTCAAAAAAAAAAAAAAAAAAAAAAAAAAAAAAAGCAGATGGCTTCAATTTCGCTGTACATAGTCCCTCATATATTTTTTCTTCAATAAAATATTCTGCATCCAGTTGTATATATATATGCACTCAAGAAGAAAGAGAATAACCAACATTACATAAAGCGTTAATTCGACCACAACATACAATGGCACATTGGTACCGACAACTACCGTGATAATCCAATGGAGAGTACTATGTTGGTGAGTGATGGCACACAGACGTGTTCTGGAAAGGACCACGGATAGACACAATTGGCAGAGGTGGCCCTATATCAACATGAAAAAGTTTCCGTTATTGTGTTTGTATGTGTCATTGATACTGTTTGGATACTCAAAGCTCTCAAATGGTACGTCAAAGAAACACAATTTTTACAAACTATAAATACTTTTAAAAATATATTTGTGGGAGGAGAGAAACAAACTTATCGTCTTTGATTTTTTTTTCTCTCTCTACAGTAAATGTGGTCTGTTTTTGCTTAAGTCCAGACATTAGATTGATATTTTAAAAAAGAAACACAACTCCATATAAAATCCATAACCTATTTTTAAAATTATATATACGTGAAAATAGCAGTTATGGGCGAAAAATAATTTCTGAATACACTTTTTGAAATTTGATTTTAAGTTACGTTTGGTTATTAGAACATAACTTTAATACTAATTTATCGTGTTTTAGTATAAACTAATCTAAACACTAATAAGATGATAAAAAAAAATCGTCAACATTTTGGCAGATTAAAGTGGATATGAAAAAATGGGCCGGGAATGAACATGAACAGTAAAACTTGTTACAAATATTAGCAATAAAAAAATGTTCATGATAATTAGATTTCACAAAAAATACGAATATTTCGTGCTTTATCGTTGGCCTTAGCTCGACGTTTTAGTTAATTGAAACATATGGAACGCCAAATTAACATCTACTCAAATATTTGAACCTATCTTCAATTAATTATACCTATCTTCAAATCAATTGTACCTATCTTCAAATCAATTGTACCTATCTCCAAATGAATTAAAGATAGGTTTCATTCAATTATATCTATCTTTAATTCATTTGAAGATAGGTACAAATGATTTGAAGATAGGTACAATTGATTTGAAGATAGATACAATTGATTTGAAGATAAGTGCAAATGCCATGAATTAAAGATAGGTATAATTGATTTAAAGATAGGTGCAATTGAATTGAACCTATCTTTAATAATAAAGATACTGACAATAACAACTACTCCCCACAAAATGCACTGTGCAGTTCCCTCCATGTTCAAGTCGATGTTAGAGGGAGGTTTCATTATTTTCAATAACACAAAACGAATTGAACCTAGGTATAATTGAATTGTACCTATCTTCAAATCGTTTGTGGATATGTTACAATTGTACCTATCTTCAAATCAATTGTACCTATCTTTAAATCAATTGTACATATCTTCAAATGAATTGAAGATAGGTATAATTCAATTGAACCTATCTTCAATAGAATTGAAGATAGGTGCATTCCATTAAAGATAGGTGTAATTTATTTGAACCTAGGTTTAATTATTTAGAGAGAGGTATGATTATTTACACCTATCTTTAATTCAGTTGTACCTATCTTTAATTCAATTGTACCTATCTTCAATTTATTTGGAGATAGGTTCAATTATTTGAAGATAGGTACAATTATTTGAAGATAGGTTCAAATATTTGAATATATGTTAATTTGGCGTTCCATAGTATGAAACATGTGTACTGATTCCCACTCTAAGGAAAAGGTCATGTCGAATGACAGGGTTTCTGAAAATTTAAAAAATGGGAAATTTAGTACTATCTCGAAAATTAACTTAACGACTAAAACTAAAAAAATTTAAAAATTGTGATCTTCAAAATGGTTCGGAATTTTGATACACGAATGTTGTTTACCTTTCGATGGACATTTTACTCGCTTAATCACCTGTTCTTTACAAAAATCTTGCTTCTTTTGTAGGCCAGAACCCGCGGCAGATGATGATGTGCCCATTAACCTTCCTTTGTCCGTGTGTCTTCTCGTGTCCTCAATATGGCTACGCCATGGGATACTGCTTCCCTTTCAGAGCTATCAAATGCTGTCCGTTCTGGGTGGTGAACTTTTGTGCGCGTTCCAGATCTTTATTTGATCCTTGATGGATTCGTGAACACTTTGACCTTGACTAGTTCCTGGACATGAGATCAAAACCATTACAATGTTCTTTGTGAAAATATGAATTTCCTTTTAGATGGGACTTTTTATGTATTTGTAACTTTATCATCTACATGGACCTGTTTGAGGAAAAATAACGAGGATCTCACATCAAGTAGAATTTAAGTTTGTTACCAATGTAAATAATTATAATTTCTTCTTTATTATGCAATCGTTGGTATGCATTAAAGATTGTGCGTGCTTCATATTTCCTGGAAAGTCTGCATGTTTAGGATAAAAAAGCACATCTAGTGTCAATCGGCATCATTGTATTGTAAATTCATCACAATGCAGCAGTTACAACTTATAAAAATAATTTGTGGTCAATGGATTAGCATATGGTGACTTCGGTGTATCGGTGCTGGTCAAGATTTCGTTATTTTTGTATATAAGAGACATATAAAAGGGGACAGTCAGCTAATCCAATGAGGTCGAGCGAGTTCAAATATATAAAACATGATCTATATCACAAATCTCCAATAGCCTATCAAATTAATGGTGTAATTTGCCTACTTGTTTTGTTGTGTAGAATTTGATTAATTTTTATGGATATATTTGATATCATATAAGATTATTACATTATATAACATACACAATAAGATAATATAATATAAGATGTGGATTCATCTATAAATAAAGATTTTTGAACAAGTTTCAGTATCTACCGCTTTATAATCATAAGATTGCAGGGGTTAAAGCTATTCAAAATGACAACGAATATGACAAAACAAAATATATGGTAAGAGAAATTCTGAAGTCTTCTTTAATGTCGCGTTCAATCCAAACTAAAAGATAGACTGGTGGACAATGAAAACGGGCCCAACATGCTTCGCCATAGACACCACAAACGGTCATCTTCAAGATATGTACTACCAATAAGATTTTACTTTATACAGGCATGCATTACCTTTAAACTACTATTAAACTTTTTGAACTTGGAACTTTGCATTGACAAGAGTATATATAAGGGATATAAAGGAAATTCCACTGTTACTCTTAGTTATCATAGATAAATGCATGGACCTTTACAGTCTACAGAGTGGTACAAGCAAGTTTTTCTGAGCCACAAGACCCTTTTTCCCCTTAACTACTTCTTTTTCAGACTTCAGAACCATTTTGTAGCTCCTTGGTCGAAAGGGAAGCGATACAAGTCTTAAGCATAGATCATCTGAGGGACACCCCTATATGGATTATTTTTAACATTAAAATGGGATCAGCCTTTCAAAACAAGATTATAAATGCATTGCAATACATTAATGAATAGTGAATTTGACAGACTAATAGTTCAAAATCCATATAGAATTTTTGATACATGTGAATCCATCTATTCAAGATTATGAGTACAACTGAACCGTATCTTGAACACTGAGGAGAGGACGTTCTAAGTTTTAAGAATTTGTGTCCGATCCTTTTGTTGTAACATCTAAGCAAAAAAATATATTCAAATCAACACTGATAATCTTGAATACCATGGATGTGTCGAAGTGATTTGGACGTCCCAAAAAGTTATTCATTATTTTACTCTGGATATCTCGAATCCTCGGATATATCTCTGGTTCTTCTCGGTCTCATTGCATTCGAGATAATGAGGTTTGACTGTACTTTAAATAGGACATACTGTACGTGTACATGAATTGGCATATTCAAAATTTAGCGCAATCACTGGGTATGGAGTTGTTGGAGTAATCATGAATTAGTGCCACACATAGCCGTGCCCTGCATTATATATATGAATGATTTATTAGCGCTATTCATCAATTAGTGCATCGTTGTCTGTGCCTTCACCTTACTTGGGGAGAAGCAGAGACCGTGGCCAAGAAGAGAGCTGAGTGGCGAAGTCTTGTGTTGACCTTATGTTCCACTGGGAGCAAAGAGGATAGGTAGTGTCTGCGCCAAAGCCTCTAAAATATGAAGCCCTCTTTTTTAAGTACACATACAATATTCTCATATAATTCAGTGGATGAACAAGATACAATGTTAACCATTAATTATCTTTTTTTTTAATTTGGAGGTTAATGATACTGAAAAGTGTTTGACATACATGTACTCAAGAAATACTTCATATATGGCATCATGTTATGGACTTGTTTAATTTCAAAACTGTGCAGTCAAAACCATATTCTTTCACACTTAATTATCCAAAAAAGTCGAAAAACACAATATTCAAAACACATCAACAACAAAGTTTCTAAAAATTCTTAAAACATCCAAGCAAATCTTCAAAGTGAAATTAAATATGATTATTTAAATGTGACCTAGAATTCTAAAAAGCACAATAAAAATTTTAAAATGCGCTTAAATGATTCATAAATGGTTTATGTAGAAACTAGTGGTAAATGCAATCATTTTTTTTAATAATTGAAATCTCCACATCACAAACTCTGAGAATATCCTTTAAGGTTAAATACTGTATTCTTGTGTGCACAAACATACTTGAAATAACTTGCACTGGTCAATTTTTATATGAACACCACCTATACATTTTTTTCTCTCCAAATTTCTTGGAATCCTTGCCCTTTTTGATTTGGGATATGTTTGGCTGAGATCATATCTTAAAAAAAACTCCTGGCTGTTTACATAGCTGTGTGTGAATATATGTACTGTAATCTTTGTAATCTGATTGCATGTAAATGTGCAATAAAATGTAAAAATTACTGTAATTATATTAAGGCCTAATATAATTAATGCAGTACATGCCTTTTCCATGTACATCACAACACATCTGTCAAAGAAGGTTAAAAGTAATTTCCAATAAAATATACAAGTATTAACAAAGAGATGCAAACATCTCCACTAATTATCAGTTTGTACAAAAAAGTCTCTGTTCTGGTGTCATGAGTAAAAACATCAGTTTGGAAAACAACTCATAGATTTAAAAATTCTACTCTTCAACTTCTGTCAATACTGCTTCAATCTTTTGCTACCACTGTAGCTCTTTTAACTTAGATCCCCCTTGAAAGAATTAATTTTTGCACAGATTTTGAGGGCAGGCCCCAGCTTCATATTCATAGTGGTCATTAGGTGATCCTCCTTAAGAAGCATCAATGCCTGGCCATCAATCTCCTGTGACTTAAATTCATCAGCATATGGAGTACAGCCGGGCATAGACTTGATGAATTCATACACCTCAGTGACCTGTCATAAATAGAACAAAGTACTTGAAAGGTGTTTTGTGAAATCAAGTCTCTTTCAGGACCCAAGCATTAAAATTTGGATCACAAATGCATCACTAATTCAAGAAAATAAACATATCCAGTTTGTTAAATATGTAAGATTCAAGGAAGATGTGAAAATACAGAAATGGCAGAAAATAAAGTATGTTTGATTAGTAAGGTTAATCAATACTTAATATCAGAAATATTCATAATTTGGTAGCAATTCCTATAGTATTTGGCACAGTGATGAAAAGTTTGAGCACAAATTGAAGGACTTACAGTCCATTTTCCTGGGTTTGTGGTGGGTGTGTCAGATTCCATGGAATTATCGGGCTGCTCCTCGGGAGTCACGGGGGAGTCTGGAGCTGAAGAGCTCTCATTAGATGTAGAGGTGTTAGATGTACTGTGTGCTTCTCCTTCCTCCATAGGCTCTGTGTCATCTCGCTCTCCCTCAGGGAATTCCTACAGAGCACAATTGAAGCACATACATGTATATGTAAAATTTAATCTTAAAATTTATATGTATCTCATCCTTCAATAAAATATATGCATCCCTTATACGTCCAACCAATCTTATAATATATGTAGAGTTCCTGAAATAAGAATAAATGTATAAAAATAAACTGCAAGTAATAAATATACACTGTATGCACATGAAGCTTTTGTAAAAATGTTAATTTTACCCTGTTTTCACCATAAGGCAATTTTCCCCCTCTTCCTGGTCCTTTGAGTCCTTTCTTCAGAATCAGAGGAGAGCCTTTCTTCATGATCATTCCTCTTCCAATGCCCACTGTATCAAGTAAGAAATCAGCAAGAAGTCCAATGACTAAATCTATTAAGGACATTCATAAAAATAGAAACAAATTAAACCTTACCATGTTTTCCTCTGGTTTTGAACACAGATGTCCTATGGGCTCTGTTGTACCGCTTGGCACATGCCATGGTGCAGAATCTCTTTGATCTCTTGAATCTAGAAGCCTGCTCCTCAGTACCACAAAATTCACATTTAGAGAAAAATTCTGGCTCTGTAAAGAATGGCAGGAAAATATTCAGGTCTTTAAATTATATTAATAATCCAAAATTTTTGCAGAACACTGTTATGCTGTACCTCCCAAAATAGCTAAAATCCTTTTGTCTCAATATTTTGTTAATCAAGATATTATTTTAGATTTTATGTTTATACTTTGTAACAAAATAAGAACTCAATAGATGCAATTATTCACTTCGGACATGTTCCCTATAAATGATAGGTATGTTTAAGAAATATTGAAAAGATACTGAAAAAAAAAATTGTTTATGTTTGGTGGTGCTTCCTCCTGACCTGGAACTTCTTTCTTTGGCACCACCTCTGAGGGTCCAGCACTTTCTGATTCTTCCTCCATTCTGTCCAGACTCTGACTGGCCTTTGGTGGGATAAATTCTGTCAGCAGTGATGACCTCTGAACCTGTGTAGTTTAAATGAAAAGGTATTTAAAAAATTATCCAACAACAAAGATTTATTTTAATTTGAACCAAAATGCTAAAATATTCTTATGAAAGAAATAATTACACTCCACAATTATTTTTCCTTACAAAGTCATCATATGATTTTGTATGCCAATCAAATATAACACAAAATCACAAGGACACATTTTTTGAGGAAATGAAAATTAGCTATAAAACAAAAAAGAGGTGTATGTACATGTAGCTAAACACATTAATAACTAGAAATCTGATGAGTCAGCAAGGGCCCCGCCGAGGGGTAGAAATATAAGGGTGCAGATTAGGGGATGAGAATTTTACTTGATTACAAAACTTTAAATATATATATAAAGAATAAGCAACAGCAACTGCTAAATATCAAATAACCTGTAAATAGTATACTTGTATTTACATAAGGTAGTAAAAAACCTCATATCTGTAATAACTAGATTAAATGTATATTTAAAGAAGAATGAAGCATGTGTTTTCTAAAATGCCAGCCTTCAGTGAATGCAAATATCACCCAGGCTTGACCTTAACTTCAAAACAAATATCAGTTGCAGACAAAGGTGTTAATTAATCTTAAAGTGACAGAAAGATAACCCTCTAAAATTTTCTGCAAACCAGCAAGATAATCAATCCCAGGGGATTAATTATACTGCTCTCTAAACCTTTTCTTCTAAGTTTACAATAAGAACTTTTTCAGCAATGATAGAATCAGGTTTCTATCTGAATACCTATTAAAATAAATAGTATTCTTGAATTTACAAAAGGCAGAAAAAAAGAAAACAAAAAAGAAAAAAAATAAAATCATAATAAAAAAGATGTCTTTGTCTACATGTATATCTTGTTTTAAGAATTCCATAAAATCATAACTCATTGTGTATTTTACCAAAATAAAGTATGAACATTATTTAAATCCACATTTCAGAGAATGTAAACATCATTCAAAATTGACCATAACTTCAAAACAAACTTCATTTGTAGACAGAGGTGTTAATTAATCTCAATGAGGCAGATAAAGATAAATGCTTTGGATTTTCTTCAAGAGGAAAGTTAATTAATCCCAAAAGACTCATTGCAGCCTTTCATAGTTTACAACAGGAACATTCTCAGCAGTTATCTCTCTTTGCCCATTCACTCTTATATAAAGTTAAGGAATCTACCCCACCAACCCAGCTCCAAACCGGCTGACATAGAGACCCAAACTTAGCATCAAAATATATCTTACTGCCTATTCAACCAACATACCAAATTTGAACTTAATTGGTCAACCCTATAAAAAGATACTAGAAAAAAACAGAAAATTTGTGGACAGAAGAAAGACAGACGGACAGACAGACAGAGTGATTACTATAGGGCACCCGCAAATCCCTGCGGGGCCCTAATTATTCTTTTGCATTTTATGTCCAAAAAAATTCACAGATATCATTACAATTCTCCTAGCATTCTAGCATGCTTTATCAAAATTACATATACACTAGGGATGTCAATTTTGTCAATAATTCATATTCGAATATTCAATGAAAGTATTCGAATATATTCGAATATTCGATACAATAAATGAAATCTGGTTTATTTCAAAAGTACATCATCATACTCTCATGGCAGGTTTTGCGTCGGTATTTGGAAATCAAGTGTATACAACCGAAATATAAATTTAACAAATGATATATATATATATATATATATATATATATATATATATATATATATATATATATATATATATATATATATATATATATATATACAAGCTCAAACCGACGAACCAGTTGTCTACCCAGGGGCAAGATTGTCGTTTACTCTTCAGATTTAAATACACATACAGTGTAATTAATTACAATTATCTGCTTAATAAGAGATATAATCTTGATATAGTGTTTTGAAAATACAAACAAACACTTCCATAGACAATTTTCCAAGATAATTATTTTCCGATAATTATTTTAAAATTTAAGAATATATTCAGATCTGATCGTATTAGACTACTGAAAGTACTTTTTGTATTATACATTAATAATTCTTGTTTATTTCTTTTATACCTTACTCAAAATGATATAATTTAGAAGATCTACAAGATAAGAAAGTAGTAGCTCTAGTAAATACAACGGGGATAATTTCAGCACTGTTCTAATTAAAATTTATTATCTCTTTTTTGTGAAATATGAAAAAAAAACCGAATATTCGAATCATAAATTCACATTCGAATATTAAGTTATCGAATGAATATTCGAATGTTCGAATATTCGTTGACATCCCTAATATACACATAAGTGATTTATAGCACTGTGAATTTTGAAATATAATCCCTCAATGTTTAAATATTGTGAGCATTAACATTTGCAAAACTTAAACCCCATTTCAGTATCACAGAAAATCATTACCCTTTGAACCATTCATGTCATTACTACTACAACTTACAGGGAATGGTTCTGGCCCCTCCTGTATGACAAATCCCTCGATGACATGAGTCAGGATGTGTGGTTTTACTATGGCCTTCTGTTTCTCTACCACTGATGGGTTCTCCTTCTTCACTCCCTCTGTCTTCAACTCAGAGGTATCCATCTTCTCAGGAGCTGATGATTTAACTGATACGTTACCAGATGCCTTTTCTTGCTGCAAAGCAATGGAAAATTGATCTTTCAGTTGAAAAAATCATTAGTTTACAAACTTTATATAAAATTCAAAATAAATTGCCACTTGCACGTAAGTGATTACTTGTGAATGTTGATTACATTAAAATTGCAAGACACAAGTGCATTGCTTCCCCAATTTTTGGTTTGATGTTCAAATTAAAATGAAATATTAAAAGTTTGTTTTCCCTTAAATATGATTAATCTAAATATTCATCAATCTTTCAAAGATTTAAAAGTTTTTAATTTTTCATACCTTGATTGCTTTACCAGACCCTGTCTTCTCGGGCTTTTCCCCTGCAGCACTTTTCTTGGTAGATTCCATCTCACTATCTGATTTGCTTTGACTTTGATTTGGAACAGTCAATGAATTTGGTGTAGGGGTAGAAGGTTTTGACTGACTGGCTGCCTTAGACAAAGACAGTGCTGAAGCCACCGTGTTGGTACCTGCTGATGCTGTCATGGCTCCTGATTAAAGAAAATCCTCAAAATTGGTACATCATCTCTTTAAAATAAAGAGTTTACTTTCATTTTTTAATAAAAATACCTTAGAAAATACATTTTTGATTGATTGGTGTATTAAACATTTCAGAAGTCAAGAATTCTTACCAACAATTCTATTGGCTGTCCTGGGTCGACCTTTCGGGTTTTTAGGAGCACCAGGAACTGCTGCAGTTTTTGGCTTGCTGACAGTTGTGGGGTTAACCCTTGCAGTGACAGCTTTGATTGGGTAAACAGACTGACCCTGGTTGGTCTGTTTGCCTATCTGGACCCCTGCAACATTATTTTGCGAGGAGTTTTTTACTGAAGTCCCAACAATCTGTACCCCCTGGGCTGCCAGTACACCTTCAATCAAACTCTCTTTTAAAATATGAACAACTTTCACACCACAACACCTAGGGGGAAGCTTGACAACATTCACTCATGCAACTCCTCACACATTGCACAACATTTGAAATTAATACAGTTTCCCTGGTGACCAATTAATATGCTTATATCTGCACTAAGTTTGATACAAGTAGTGTTGGACTTAAATTTTGAACATACACATCTATAAATCTATTTCATTTGTTGTTTTTTATTTTTCCTCAGTATCATTATTTTTTATTCTGTGTAAATGTTTCTTCATAATATCACATCTGTCACAAAAATACATCAACAGCATTTCATACTCCATATACCGGTAATTAAAGATGGCTGTTTTTCTTTTTTGTTGAATACATGTACTAAAATCAATGACAGCAATACACAAATAATCACTAAACACCAAACACAAGAAAGACATTTCTACACATACAAGTACTACCTTGTTGTCCCTGAATCTGTGTTGTCCTTAAATAAACTGGTTGTCCAGGTAAGATGGTTGGTGATTGGCCAGATGCTGATAATTGTAACTGCTGATGACCCAATGGGATTGCTCCTTGCTGAAGCTGAGTAGCCATGGCTTGAAGAATGGACTGATTTGTCATGATGGGCTGTGACTGTATGTTTATTTGACCTGAAAAGTTACCCAGATCACATTTTAAATAAAATGATGACTTAAAAAGAGAATGTCATCTTCATATCTCTTATTTTCAAAAGCTTCATGAAGGACTTTAAGGCAATATTTTTTATAATGTCCACGGCAAAGAACCAACCTGAACTAGACACAAGTTGAGGCTGACTGAATCGTATTGGTGCTTGTGTACTTATCAGCTGTGCTGGGGCACCTTGGTTCAAAGCTATTGACTGTCCTTTTGACTATGAAAAGACAAGAAAATCAAAGTTAAAAACTTCAGAGGTTAAATGTGCTGAGTTTAGTTCAAGAATGACCTCTTAATTAGATGTTGAATCTAGAGATGTATCTAGGCTGCCTAAAAAAGATAGAGTTTCATGTAAGTGAACTATGATATACCGTATAACGGGTTTCTTTAGCGGATGTAAATAAAATTTGGCGTTTTGCTTGCTCAAAGGTATGCCAATAATGTTGGCAGAACTTTTTTGGCAAACACAAAGTATTATGGCGTTGCAAAATAGAAGTTCATCTTCTAGATGAGTTTCAGGATCTATAACATTCGTCTGAATATCCATTTACACAAGAGACTGGGTAAAAACCAATACTAGATGGATGATATAATATTCAATTATTAACAGACTGATCAAATTATTTTTCTTGTACATGTACTTCAGTACTTGTATGAAAGGGTGCAAATTTAGCGATTAAAATTTTAGCGGGCCTTACAAAACCGCAAAAATAAGGCAAAGTTAGCACCCTGCTAAAAATTCCTGCTATACGGTATCATGTTTCATTGATCAATATTGAAGAAAAGATTTGAAAGATGCATGTAGCATTACACTATCCTGAAAATTGTTAAACTAACAATTCCATAAATGTCTTGTCCCTGTAAATATGACATTGGTTAATGAGAGTATTTATTCTTAGATTATAAGATAGGTTTGTGGAAATCTTCAGTCAATATACTTACTCCAACAAACCCTGTGGTACTTGTCAGTTGATTAGGTAAAACACCTGCAAAGAAAAAAAAACAGAATTAAGATACAATGAATTTCAAATTGAAAGTCTTTTATTTTGCAGAATTTGCATAGCAACCAAACATTTAATTTATTGTACTGTTTTTGCTCATTAGTAAAGAAATAAATATGATAAGCATACTCAGAACAAGTGGCTGTGCAGCAATGTTTGTTTGAGTTGGCATGATTGGTTTGCCTCCTATAAGTGTGGTGGCTTGGGCCTGTTGTGTGGGTGTGCTAGGGGTTGTTTGTCCCTTACTAACAGTCAGAGCCTTCCCATTGTTGGCAGTGGAGGTTGCTGCAGCTGATACCTGGGCTTGTAATGGCGTGAAAGTGATACCTGGATTCTGGAAAGAAAAACATGACTTTCAAAATATTAACTCCTATTTGCTACATCTGTATGTTACATTTTAATAGTTATACTGAAAATTTCAATATGCTATAATGAATTGTTTTTGTTAAGAATTTTTCAAATAAACAGAAGTTACAACAAAAATGACCTTACCTGTGTAGGTGTTGTTGGGCCTGGTGACATTAGCCCCGCCCCCATTCTCTGCTGCTGCATGGCCATAGCAGCCATGTTCATATTGGCCATGTTTATCTGTGGGTTTATGTTCATGTTCATAGCATTGGCCTGCATTGCTGCTGCAAAATGAAATATAAACTTTGCACACACACTTATTTTAAATAACAACCAAGAGTATAATAATATTTCTACTTCAGATTCTTGTGAGCAGACTCAAATGTTCTAGATGATCTACATAGAACTATATAATTATTACTACATCCATTTTTCTGATACCTTGCAGGGACATCCCTTGCATAGCAGCATTCTGCAGCATGATTTGTTGTTGGTTGAAGGGATACTGCATGTATGGTGTACTCTGCATCTGTGGAATGACCTGCACCTGTGGTATTGTTGCACTTCGCAGGTTAGCAGCATTAACAGTCATGGCTTGAGATGGTATACCACCCTGAAGAGTTGCACCTGCCATGGCATTTCCAGCCAAGGCATTAGCTGTCATGGCATTTGCCACCATTGGATTTGACACTGTCATCATTGAGTTTGCCACCATTGGATTCGACACCGTCATCATTGAGGCGCTGCCAGAGAAAATTGCAGCAGCATTCTGAGGTGTTATGCTAATGGCAGCATTTGCTACTGATGCTGGTTGCTGGTGTTGATGCTGCTGATGTTGCTGTACTGTTGGTGGCTGGTTGACCTGCTGCTGTTGAACTTGCTGTGGTGTTGCAGGTTGTGGATGCACCTGCTGTGGTGTTGCTGGTTGCTGAGATGGTTGTTGCTGAATTGGTGCTACAGTTTGCTGTTGCTGTGTGCTTGCTTGTGGTTGCGAGTTCCCTGATATGAAAAAGTACCATAATTGTTAGTAATTTTTAAATTGAAAATCCTCATATTAAATGTCTTCAAAGTTTTAACAGAATTTTGTTTAAATTACACAGTGCTTAATGCTGCACTTAAACATACCCATATATTCAACAAACAGCCAAAGATGGACAAAAATGCTTTGCTACATGTATATCTTTAATTCATGATACCCTGTTGATATTTTATTTGTTTGAAATTTCAGTGACCAAATATGACTTTGACTTTTATTATAAGCAGGATTGCCATTTCTTCATGATCACTGTAGTAAATATATTTCACTGGTTGGAGGTTATGGATCTCAACTAGGGATTTTAAAATCTTTATATATTTAATCTTTAAAATATTTATGTGTAATACATTTTCAATGCCATTTGGAGAAATGATAGAGCATTTTACTCAATTTATCCATTAATTGGCAGTCTTAATCAATTTTGAATAAGTTGTAGTAATTTGACTTACTTATCAACAACCAAAAAAAAAAAATAACAGTCTATGCGAAAGTTTTTTGGACCACACAGGACATTTGGTCCGGTGTAATCAATGAACACACAGGACTGAACCAAATTTTGTCAGACCAAAAAACTTAATGTAAAAAAGTGAAACACGTGAAAATACAGAGTAGTAGACTAGCTTAACAGCTTTTCTTTAACAAGGGATCACTCCTGCATAATACTGTAGATGGACATGCTGTTTTAATCACATTCATTTACGTATTTTGATTTCTGCGATATTTTTTTACTTGTAACAAACATCTAAATGATACCGCATCAAAATAATAATACTCAAAACTGGACAGTGACACATCAGACATTCTTGTCCGGTGTAAAAAAAAGATGCATCGGACCAGAGGCACTATATATCGGTCAGGTCCGATGGTCCGATGTCTTTCGCATAGACTGAATTAATAATAAAATTTAAAAAAAAAAATCAATGTTAAAAGTAAACACCAGACAAGAAATGGTCTTGGAGAGGAAATGATAAGGATTTCAATAAGTAATAGTGGGGGAATTTCAAGTCAATGTGAATATAACTGGTACTTATACCATAAACTAGAGATGTCAAATGTCAATAATTCATATTCTGAATATTCAGTAAGAGTTCTCAAACATATTTGAATATTCTATAAAATGAATAAGCTCTGATTTATTTTAAATATGTATAATCCTATACCATGATAAATTGGAAGTAAAACTAGATGTAGACTTTTGTAGGTGTACAGTGAGGAATTGTCATTGTTTGAAGCATATACAACTAAATCATAATTCAAACAAGAGCCCCATAGGACATAATGTTCACCACTTAACTTTTGTCCAACTGTTCTTAACATATTTAAAAGATTTATCTCCTTTATATTCCTATCAAAAATTGTAATTATTAATAAGAAAATTGTCTTAAGTTTGGAGGTATTTGTTTATATTTCAAAATATTTCAAAGATTACCTGTTCTGATCTTTTACAATAAACCACTAATTAAATAAATAAATAAATCAAAAAGAACAAACAAAACAAAACAAACAAAAACCAAATGGTAAAAGCTCAGGAAAACACTTGAAGGGATAGGAATTTCATACTTTAGGTAAATGGCTCATTGCCTTTTCACAATCCTGCAAACATTTTGCATATTTTCCAAAACTAGGCTATTAAAGTATTTGTCATTTATTCAAGCATATTTTTACTCAAGACGGGAGTTGGCAATTCTGACAACAGGTACATTTATAGCTAAAAATTATCTTATCAAGACATAGTCCAGGAAAAGAAATCACCTCTCTATCTCTATTGTACATGTTATGTATAGTATTATTTATTATTTTTGCAAAGACATTAACCTTGCTGTGGTTGTTGTTGTGCTGGCTGCTGAGGGTTTGCACTGGGTTGCTGATTTTGAGGCTGGGCAGCTGCCTGCTGTGATTGATCAGCCATGGCCTACGATTTTGGCAAAATCTGTAAAGATACATAATGAAGAATGATATCCACGAAAGATTTAATTTTACATGGAAAAAATAAAATGAAAATGAAGAGACAGACTTTTTAATTTTTTTTTTTTTTACTATCAAACATCATGAAGCTTAATGGAAAAACGCTGCAGACGTCGTCTGGTAAACACTGCACTGCACTGTGCAGTGTACTGTCAAAACTTTCATGAAGAATTAGGCCAAATATCTATTTGCTGGCAATACGAAGATATGCTTATTTTTGAAAGTGTTGGGTATGTGAGATATAAAAGTATTAAAATTATCGAATAGCACTTTTTATTTTCTTTTTTTATTCCCCATAATATAGACCAAAATAAACTGGGTTAATTTATTATAAATAACTCAACAAAGCTCAGCAATATATTTCACTTCAAGTAAATATCATGGCAATTTCAACCGCCTTACAATGAATAACATATACTGGTCGCTATTATGAGTATTAAATATACCTGCAGAACTTTGAAACTGACCTCAATAAGGTGTATTTTAACTTCTCGATTGCTGAACTTGAAGGGACAATGCATAATCCGCCATTGTTTCTTTTCTTTTCGGAACTCCTCGAAAAATTTCTAAAACTAAAAATCGGATCCGGAGACGGTGGATCCGGGAGGCAGTTCATTATTATTTTTAAAAAATGACAAGGCTTCACACATTAGTCAAATTAAATCAAATCCTCATTAAAACATAGATTGAAATTTTTATATCATTAGAATTGTCCAATTTAGTGAGTTATACCAATCTTTTAATTAATTTTTTTTCACAAAAAAAGCATTTTTTTTAAAAAGTGTTTAATGTACAAATTACAAAATCAAAGAATAAAAATATATTTCATCTTGAAATATATCCTTATAAAATATTAAAAATGAAACGTAAATATATTGAGAACTTTGTGCCACAAACTGCAAGAGACAGCTAGTATGAATAGAAATGTCCATGTATTTTTGTTAGAATAAAAATATAATCTTTGCAAATATATTTCATCAATTCTTATTATCTTACCATCTTGAAGTATAAATAATTGAAAAATATTGTATTAAATATTTAAGCAGTTACCAAAATAATGTTAATAAAATGAAAACTTGTGACATATCTCATTGTTGTAATAAAGTGCACTGCCAAGGCACATGTTACGCATCTAATATTGTGTGACAAGGTGGGTTCGGTCGTTGGTGGCCAGAAAGCTCAGCTGGTAGAGCACTAGAGTGGAGATTCAGGGTTCAAATCCCAGTTTGGTCCATCACATTTTTCTCCTCTCCCGTTACATCTGGTGCTCTGCCATGCCCTGGAAGTGACAGGTGAAAGACTTAATTGCCAGGGAAGAGCCTGGGTTGGTATCTTTGGGGTATAAGACCTTTAAGGAGGGAGGAATGTGGTGGTCCGACGGGTTCGCTCGCCAGTGGCCAGATAGCTTAGTTGGTAGATCACCTGACTAGAGATTCAGGGGAGTCCTGGTTTGAATCCAAGTCTGGTCCATCAAGTTTTTCTCCTTAATTGTTTAATTATCATAAACAGATGAGTGTGCATCATGTCCATCTTGATATTTAAGACTTTTCCATTCCTTACATTTCATTTGCATCTCCTATGCTGTAATATTAATTAGAACAAATAGTACATCGATATACAGAGGCCCATTTAGGACCTATCATAAAATATATTTTTGATTTCAATATGATGAATTTAATCAGGTATAATAATTATTTTTAATTCAATATAACAAATTCAAAAATAACATTAAATTCATTTAAAGGAATTCTTTTTTTTTTTTAACGAAAATCAAATTCATTCAAACAAACTCTTATATCAATTTGAATTTGTTTAAATTCAACAATTCATTATATTAAATTCAAAAATATTTTTCGATAGGTCTTAAAGGGGCCTGGACACAGTTGCATTGTTTAAAATTTTAAATGTCTCTATTTTTATTCAAAACGTAGGTAATCAGAGATTACAGAGCTCACCTCAAGGAATGTTGTCTTTAAGGCAAAGTCCCACACTAAACTAATAATCTAGTAGTGTGCATCCCTAGATGCAACATTTATGCAGTTTTGGTCTGATAGGGCTTGCAGTTACTTGGGAATGGATCTAAAAGTAGGTCAGATCCAGCATCCAAAGCAAGTTTAAAAGTGTTTGTCCTTTGATGCATCATCCTTGCAAGTTTGGTTCAGATAGGCCTTATAGTTTCTTGGCAATGGACCTGCTAAAAAACTTTAACCTGGTCACTCATCTGGAAAATGTAGGTACGATCCAGCATCTGAAGCAAGTCCAGTAGTGTGCATCCTTAGATGTATCATCCATGCAAGTTTGGTCGATATAGGGCTTATAGTTATACTTGGAAATGAGATCTGCTCCAAAAACTAGCCTGATCATTCATCCAGAAAATGTAGGTCAGATCCAGCATCCAAAGTAAGTCCAGTAGTGTGCATCCTTAGATGTATCATCCATGCAAGTTTGGTCAATATGGGGCTTATAGTTACTCAGAAATGAGATCTGCTCCAAAACTTTAACCTGGTCACTCATCCGGAAAATTTAGGTCAGATCCAGCATCTGAAGCAAGTTCAGTAGCATGCATCCTTAGATGTATCATCCATGCAAGTTTGGTCAACATAGGACTTATAGTTACTCGGAAATGAGATCTGCTCTAAAAACTTTACTGGTTACTCAATAGGAAAATGTATGTCAGATCCAGCATCTGAAGCAAGTCTGGTAGTGTCACTAGTGTGCATCCTTAGATGTATCATCCAATCCATACAAGTTTGGTCAACATAGGACTTACAGTTATTTGGAAACAAGATCTGCTTCAAAAACTTTAACTTGCTCCAAAACCTCTAACCTGCTCTAAAAAAATTAACCTTGACAATGTCATTCTTTAGCTGAAATTGCAGCATCTGAAACCTTGACTAGTACAACGAAACACACTAGAGGCATCCTCCATGCACCTCTAATTGATATAGGGCATAGAAGTACTTGAAAAGAAATCTGCTCTAAAAATTTTAACCTGGGATGACGATGCAGAGGTTATTACATAAGCTCCCCCAACTTCGTTGAGGTGAGCTAAAAATGACTTCAGTTTAATGATTTGAATTTCTTACATGATTATTTTTTGAATTCAGTGATGTCATTCTTCATAACATCATGTCAAACACTTGTGTTTGTAAACAGGACATAAGCTCTGTTATTGTTTACGTTTCACCAGGTGTGTTCTATTTGTTTAGTCTGCACACATCACTGAGCTCAGACTGACAATACTAGTGAGTTGGTTTTGCTTTCTGGTAATGTCTAATCTTAGTTGAAAACTTTGATATTGTCAGACTTATTTTGATATTTTGCATTTTACAATTTATTCAAAAGTGAGAAAAACAGTTATTAGTAAGGTCTAAATTAACATAAAGCAGGCAAAAAATGAAGAAAAAAAGTTAGTTGACAAAAGTTCAAAGCAAACTTGGGCCTCTACTCCAGTTGAAACAATATATAAGGTCTGATGAGACCTTCCTTGAATATTTGATTTTGTATCTGTTTGTAACATACAGTTGAACTTCGGTATCTCGAACATGGATTTCTCAAATACCATGGATATGTCGAAGTCATTTTGAAGTCTCAACTACTTATTCCTCACGTATTTTACCCTGGGTATCTCGAATCCCCGGTTATCTCTAAGAATTCTCTTGGTCCCTTCAAGTTCAAGATAACAAGGTTTGACTGTATATAAATATTACGATCTTATGATCTCTAAACTGTTTTCAAAATGTCTTTAAAAAATTTGAACACCAAATAATTAAATAACAGCAATTCAAGTCATATCCGTTAGGATTATATAGGATATACTATTCTCCTTGGCACAAATACCTGGTAATGTACTCAATTTTCTGTGAGAAAACTTGTTAAAGAAGCTATATGTCAATCACAATATTAAGAACTATTATATATTACTGAGGAACGTGTCACCTGACCTGAAGACTAAGTCCCCCACCCCACCCCCACACACAAAAAGGCCAAAATTTGTTACTTGTGTGTTACAACAAAATGCTTCATTTGATTTTAGTTAGAACACTATTTGAACTTATTACTGGAAATCTGAAGAATACTGAATTTCAGAATAGGTATATATTAAAAAGAAATAATGTGCAGCAAAAATTTTATTTTCTGTACTCATATTTAAAATATACCTTCAGAGCACATATCTTTTTAACCTTTGAAAACTAAAATGTCCCACATTGCAAGTCCACATTGATAAAACCATACACACATGTACATGTAATCTGTATTAAGCCATCTAGTCTATGGCTTTACATATTTTTGATTTCACTTCTTGAAAATCTTCATGCATTCAGAGATTATATTGTGTATACACAAGAACTTTTCCATCATCACTAAAAATAAAATACTGTTCTGTATACATTTCATGTAGTTTATTTGCATGCCAAATGCCCATCGAAATTTACGACAGACTGGTATATGTACATATACAAAATAAAATAAATACTAACAAATCAAAATACCCATGTAAGAATCAAAATACGTATGCAGTAAAAATAAAATGAAAAGGAATATCAAAGAAAAAAAAAAATAAACGAACAAAGCTTAACAATAAAATATAATTTTCATTTAAAAATTTAAGATTAAAAGGAAAAAGTTCTTTAAAAGATGAACTTGAAAATCAGAACAACGTATATGCAGAATACACGTAACAGGTAAACAGCAAATGCCTTGCATAATGTTTGAATTACATTTCACTTCAGGTAGTTTAGAGACATTTTCTTCAGTTTTACAGAAAAGAGGGCAGTGATGGAAACAATTATGCTTATAACTAATAATCCTGAGATCCGTCTTTATGGTATATTCTAGCATTACACTACTGAATACTTGGAAAACACAAACTCCCGGAATTTATCAAACTTTGTGTACAGATTTGAAATGTCTTCATTTGCATCAATTACCTGTAAAATAAATAAATTTGAAAATAAGCAGTAGTATTTGAACATTTCTATTTGTTGAAGTATGCTGATTGGCAAAGCGGTAATCTGTTCCAAGAAAATGACTTCAGTTGATAAAAGAGAGAGAGAAATAAAGACTGTAATTTTTTGTCATTTCACACACAGAATTTTAAAACACTTTTCCATACAAGAAAATGTGAAGCTTGTTCTAGAAAATCTTTTCTAAAGTAGGTGTACTTTTCTTTTTTTGTACAGAACTTACATAAACAGGGGCTGGTAATTTGAATTTAGTTTGGTTAATCAGCCAGTTTTCATGCAGCACATGGAGGGACTGCAGGTAATCCTGTAATATAAAATGATGTTAAGTTTAATACTGCTTCCTAAGTAGTGCCAATCCCTATTCCTCATCCCCTCGAGTCAATCTCAATACTTGAAATCTTTCATAAATTGCAGGTGTATAATTTTTTTTAGTTAAATCTAGACTTTGTAGTGTCACAGTGAAAAATAAGTTGATAGGCTAGTAAAACCACTAAACCAGGTTGTCCCCATTCGTACCTAATGTAGTAGTCTACTCAAATTGCAGTACGATGGACATACATGTATGTGTGCACTATTACAAATTTATTCATTCTTGATGAAAGGTGGTTTCTTAATATTCCTGATTTTAGAAATACAGAATCTTACAATGGGGACATCTTTTTCCTCCATTCTGGCTCTTTTTCGGATTCTTTCTTGACAAGTTTTGGGGTCAGCTCTCAAGTACACTGCAAAATGTATACAATGTATTCATAGTACATGTCATGTCATGCAAGCAATCTATGGTTTTATATTGATGTTGAACTAAGCAGAGCATTTGCAGCAGTGAATGAGACATCATTCAAATGTTAATCTTAAATTGTCTTAAAATTGTTAAAATCATTAGATATTGATACTGGAATAATCAAGCCATATTAGGCAACCCAGTTGTTCATAACTGTGTCACTTAAGGAACCTAGATTTCCAATTACTTAAAACTGAAAGCTATACAACATTATTTAGTTGCAACTTACCAATGATGTCAATCTTGGTGTTTTCCTGTTGTAATATGAAATCATAAAACTCTGACAACACAGCATAGTCAATCTCAGGCATCAGCTTACTGTAATAATTATAAAAATAAACAGTAATTCACTTGTGATATATACAATGTCATCAAGGTAATATATTGTATTGAGTAAACATGTTTTTTTTTTTTAATTGCCTTTTTTTCAAAATAAAATTTAGTAGATAATGCCATCTTTAAACAGAACGCAAAAGCTTTGAAGTCTTATGAATAATTATTACTCAATATTGTCATGTTTAGAGTGTAACTGGTAAGGGAGAAAAATATGATGGACCAGACCAGGATTCCAACCTAGGTCCCTTGAATCAATAGCCAGGTGCTCTGCCAGTGCTATTTGGCTACCGGCAATCGAACTTGCCTGACAATTCCTCCCTCCTAAAAGGTCTTCACCCCCAAAGACACCAACTTTGGCTCTTTCCTGGTTGGTCTTTAACTTGTCATGTCCAAAGCATGGCAAAAATATGATGGACCAAACCAGGATTTGAACTTGGGCTCCCTGACCAGGATTTGAACCCAGACCCCCTGAATCACTAGTCAGGTGCTCTATCAACTAATCTTTCTGGCTTTGGGCCATTTGACCTGCTTGACTGCCACAAGAGTTACTAAAACATCAGGTGAGGAGTGTGTTCAACCTCCATACACTAATCATAAATTTTCGAAGAATCGTAATGATGGCCTAGAGTTCCGCATTTCACTGTGAGGAATTTCTTCATGAAGTGTAGCAAAGATGTGATCTAATAAAATTTTCAGACAAACAGACAGGGAAAACATAAACAGAAAGAGATACATTTTTAAATGCGGAGAAACTATTAACTTACCTCTGGTAAAGATTTTCAACAAAACAGTTTCTAGCACTGAATATTGATCTCTCCATCATCTTGATGCTGGTATGTTTTGTCTACAAAAAATGAACAAATTAGCTTGTATGATACAGTAAGTGCAGTTAAAACTGTAAAAATTTAATGCTGGTACTTACTCGGTGTTTGTGACCCTCTGCCATGGTTAACTGGACATAGGATTGGAAGGCCAAGCTCCAGCGAGATGCATCCTTATACATCATGTCCTGGGGGATATACAATAATTACTGTATGTATTTAGTGTTACTTAAACAAAAAGAATACTCTTCATTTCTTATAATCAAAATTATTCCAAAACCCAGGTTTTTAATTAATCTGATTTAATTTAAAACTTGTCTGATTCATTGCAGTCGTAATGTATATACACTAAAGTGTACATTTACAGGACTTTCGATTATTCTGATGTGAAGAGGTGAATTAATCCATTCGGAGGGGCTGATTTTGAATTATTTCGAATAGTTTCCTTTGCCAAGTATGAAATTTAAGTCAGTAAATTTCAGTCATTGAAACGACAATAAATTGCCTCCTGCCACCCCTTATTGAAAGCCCTGCAACATTCACATCTTTTGAAGCCAAGACTATGCTTAATTTTCCTGTTTGCAATTTTTTTTTTTTTTTAGAATTCTTATCGTGTGCAACTATATGGACTACACAAACATTTAAAATGACTATTAGACCAGCAACTGATGCAATACTAATCTGCTTACTAGAGTGTTGTATCCATTCACATCTTTCCATTTGTGAACTGGCTCTTGGATTACCTACAAAGCAGACAAATACATCAATTACATAATCATAAAGAAGTGATCAGTTCCAAAAGTGTAACTCACTATAGGGTGCTGACGAAAAAAAAAAAAAAAATGAGCACATGGGCAAAGAATAAATGAAAGTATGCATTTATTAAAAGCCAGCTGGAATACAAATTCATTTTCCATGCATTGACACAAACAAAACATCAAGGTTCATCTTACCTCGATCTTATCACTAAAGTTTTTGAAATATTGAAGAAATGTTGATTTTCCACTTCCAATATTTCCTTCCACCACAATCTTTGAAAAATATCAAATTGCTATATTTGTTAGAATGAAAAATCTAAGACTTTTATTAGTATGAATTTTGCAAGCAAGTTCAAGTTTTTCTACACTTGACAAACACAAGATTAGAATGTTTTTACTTCTGATTTCATATGATTACTTAAAATTTACCGTTGGAACTCGTCCTCTTTTCTTCTTGGGAATGTTGACTTGAGGATCAACATTTTCTGAAATATAATAAGAAATTTCATGAATTTAAGGACGGATCCAGGGATCACAAGCAAAAAAAAAAAATTAAATGGTAGTGTGTGTCTGAGGGGTGTGTGTGTGTGTGTTCAATACCAGTCATGGACTCATGATAAGTTGGTTTTCTTCATACTCTTCCTACCAACTTACATGGGGGTCCAGTAAAAAAAAAAAAAATCCCAAATGAAATTTTTGTAAAAAGATCCCCTCGACCCCTCTCCCTTCCATGGCGAAATAATTTAGTGCGCAATGCCTTCTCCCAGTCATCCCTGCATTGCATGTCCTCCATAGAAAATACATGTCTGCATTATGAACAAAATACGTATACGTCTGATTGAGTTTTTGTGGAGTACACACAATGCCACAATGAACAGGTGAAGTAATGCACTCCACAAACGAAGTTATTTGGAGTGACCAAGTTAACTTAAAGTATTACTAGTTAAGTGTTACGAAGAACATGACATGATACCTGAATCAAAGTGACTGAATCCTAGCATTTTCTCCTTTGTAGTGTTGTCGTACACAGTCGTGATCTTTGGCGCAATATTTTATTCACATATACCGCTAAATTTTTTGTTATCCAATCAAACGCTTCCAATTATTCACTCCATGCGTTCCACTTTTACCGTAAATACACATATACGTGCTTAAGATCTTAAAGAAGTATGACTTGCAGTGGCGTATATTGTGTAGGTTAATGAGAGCCACGAAATTGACGGCTGGATGCGAGGAGTCACACCCTCCCGCTGCAGCGGTATATTTAACTGTTTAAAGGTCAACCCCGAAAAAATATATCACCTGAAAGAAAATAGACCTGACGTGTATTTGCCTGAATTGAATTTGCATCAATATAACTCTGTCATTATAATTGACAAGATTGTAATAATATATATAAACATATTTTCAGTTTACAGGCATGCAAATAAAATCTTCACGAGGACTTAACAAAATTGAAGAAAAAAAATGAAATCCTTAACAGTGCCTAGGTAAAAACATTGATAAATATGAAAACTTCCCGCAGCCTGTTAACTCGAAGAAATAATCCAAATTCAAATAATACTTTGCATGTTTTGATTTTGCCTAATATCCCCAAAATATTTCCAGCATTACATGGCCATAGGAACCGCTTGTGGAGGAATTTTTGCTTGGAAGCAAATCCCCCCCCCCCCCCACTGAAAATGTTTCAGTGATTGTGCGCCCGCAAACCGCTAAAAATTTCCTACGGACCCTGTATTAATCACAAATTTATTTATTCTTTGTGCAGATTATAGACTTTCATCGATTTTCCAATTAGTTTAATTGCTAAAAATACTTTCTGCATTGGACAACAATCAAAGTAAAAATGTTAAGAAAGATATAATTATGATGATCTCCCCCACCCCCACCCCTTTTTTCAACCATTTGTGTTTATTTGATATTTACCATGTTTACACCTTTGAAAAAATAATTTGTAGTCTACAGTCTTTTTGCCTATATATGAAATATATGCCACAACCTTGCGCAATTTTACGATCTACAAGGACCGAACGCATCACTGTTCCGACCAATATCCCAAATCATGTAGCTCTGTGAACATGCTCAAATTAAGTGATAAATAGAAGATGTACAGACCGCACTTAATAATTTTAATTAAGTTCTTAATTGTTCACATCACATGCAACAATTAAACTTTTGACCGTATTATTTAGTTATAAATTATCGAGCGAGTTTGTAGCTGCAGATTTTTAGCTCGTACTGGTCTGAAAAAAAAAAAAAAAATGGGAAGGACAACCATGTCAATTTTTTCAGACGATCTGCAGATAGCGAGTTTGGTGCCCGCGGTTCACATCGCAATTATTTATTTACAGAAAGGGATTGTATGCTGATAATTAAATGGGGAAAAATATCCTGGAGAGGAACTTGAAAAAAAATGGATGTTAAGAAAATACTAAAATAATCATTATGTATGGAATTTGCACCCCCCCCCCCACCACCACCACCACACACACACACACACACCGGATTTGGTTATAGATTCTTGAAGGTTACAAGTACGAAATCAAATATCGACTCTATCCTCTTGTCGTGACCTAACTGACTGGCATTGGAAAATTTTTTTAGATAATACAAATTGTAATTAATCTCACAAAAGTCTGCATAAAATATGCTTTTGGGGAGTCTATGCCCCCTAAAAATATATTTTTAAGTTGGGCGGATGGAATGGGTAGTTGGAAATATCTTAGGACTCAATATTAATATTCAAATATTTGAAGCAGTACATGCTTACATAGCAACAACAAAACGTTTAATTTGAACACTGTCATGTAGCATATGTAAATTTTGTAAATTAAAATATTTCCAAACCCGTTAATCGCCCGAGTGGCGCAGTGGTTTATGCTTTAGAGTCGCGGAAAAAGGAGTTATTCCTTAATTACGTCGCGGATTCGAATCCCTCTGTGAGACGTGGAGCTCAAGTTTTTTTTCCTTTGCTTTATTATATATAAAACCTAGGTGGTTCGGACCCCGATCCCCCTCTAGACAGCTAGATCAGCGCATGAGATTAAAGATTATTATTTCATCAGGAATAAGTACGGTAAATATTGACCAATGAAACAACAGCGCGCGTTACGTCACTGGTTGAATCGTGAGTCTTGCAGTTGTTGCATGGAGGAGATGGATGAAGATGAACAGGAGAAAGCGTAGCGTGACAATATATGTTCGCAACAAGCAGCGATACAACCCAGCTTCTAAGTTGTACAATTTTATCAATGTTCGCGTTGAAAATTTTGCTGGCACCAGAATTGGCGATATCAAGGAGGTTTGTGGGAAAAAAGTTCTGCGAAAGTTCACCGGAAGTTGAATTGTTTATAAACAGTAGCAAGCACATGTCATCATTGCTGCAAAATGGTCCGACACAGTCTCTTGATTTTTAACCAAAGAACTGGAATTAGCTTGATAACTTTATTAATCTTTTCAGCATAAACTTATATTGTAAATATACATTTTTTTTAAATGTTAATTTAATTCGTAAGACGAAATGGTTTTCTACATTTCAACTTAAAACATTGCACATGCCCTTGTTTCTCATCTGTAATGAATATTTTAACCCGTAGTAGATAATAACACAATTAAGGTTCCTAACTCCGAATTACATGGAGTACCACCCTCCCCAGAATTGCAGTCACACTTTAAGAGAAAATGCCATGACACTTGTTTCTGTTATAATTTTTTTTTAAACCCATAGTAGGGTGAATTCACCATGCATCGGGCACCCTCGCACTTCAGCAAGTTCTAGTGATATCTCTACCAACAGAATATTATCAAAATGGAACTTAACATGTAGTAAGTGGTTAAAAATATAAATTTTTGACACAATTTTGTGCTATTTATAGAGAAAATATCATTAAAACCCTATTTTTTCGAAATAAGTCAGAATTCACCATGGATCGGACAATATTCACTATGCATCAGACATAGGGTATTTAAACTAGAAAAATATCATACCTTGATCTCGGTGCTTTAAAATTAGTGACATCGAAACATTTTTATCTTTTATTAAAAAATTAAACTTCCAGTTAAATTTGAATGACTATTTCGATCCACAAATGTGAAGAGATTTTAGGCGCATCACATCGCCTCAGAAAGGCATTACAATGCAAGTAATATGGCAACTCGCGCCTTATTATCATCTAGTTTGAAGAAATAAGTCGAGTCCACTTCTAGTCGTCTTATATCGATATCTTGTATTTTCACTTAAAATTTAGAGTTTTTATTTTCTATTTCTGTAAAAAAAAACCAGCTGTCATTTGGGTTTTATATGAAAATGGAAGTGATTACCCATGCGTCAGAAAGTGTGCGATGCATGGTTAATTTGTGTCTGATGTATGGTGAAATAAACCTACTAGTAAAAAACAACTCTAAAAATTATTATACAAACATTTAAGTAAAATTTTTGAAAAATTTCTGTAAAATTATCAATCATTGACAAATTTTACCTATGATCGACTCTTCCGTTGAAGTCTATTTAAAAGAACAACAACTCTAAAAATTGCAAAATCATAAAATTCTGGTTACTCCCCTTTAATGATGCAAAATATGACAATTTCAAGGCCATTCTTTTGGTATTTTTATCACAACATGAACTTAAAAATCGCATCATGAAAAAGTTTAAATCTTCACCTTTAAGACAGAAACAAGTAAAAACACGGGGAGACTCAGGTTCAATGAAAGTTTATTGCTTCAAGTTGTCCGAAGCAAGGTATGTGTCTGATACATGGTTAATTCACCCTATAATGACACAACGTATCCAACTCTGATTTAAAAGGGGTACACCCCTCCCCAGAAAAGCAGTCATTTAAACTCCAGATTTTTTTACTGTTCAGCAAAAATCAGTTGAAAAGCATGAACAACGTACTGTATCATAAAAAATAATCGGGTTAACCTACAAAATGGGGTGAGTTGGCAATTTTGATGATATAAATCTTTGTAAATAATGTCATTGGTAAGCCAATTGAATAAAAGAATTACACAAAAATTTATAAAGTATTATACAAAAACTACTTTCATAATTTTTAATGGTCAGGTAGATTTGAAGTAATAGATAAAAAATGACACAAAAATACCTTTTACATTAAATATTCTTGAAAGAATAAGAAAGGCCAATGTGAGAGAATCTGATGGGTTACTAATAAGTGCATAAATACCATTGTAATGTTTAATATGAATGATGATAGTGACAATGGGAGTGTATTATCTTTGGCAAGTGCAAGCAAGTAAATCTACCTTATGATTTGTTACTGAGTAACTGTTTTCATCATCCCTGATCATCCTATTTCTCTTCCTTTTGGGTAACATATCTTCATCTCTCAGTTTAATTTGTTTTACTTTATACTTCAATCTATGGATTCTTTACAGTGTTGTATTATGCTTCAGTGACCATTAAGGTCCTTGGGCCTCTTGTTTACCAAATCCACTGTTCCAAAATCTTGCACCAGAAAGTGTCTTTCATTAGGTTTAAATATTGTTCCAAACTTTTAGGCTTAGCATTTCTCCAATACCACATGTACCAGAGTTCCTAATTTCAACAGTTATTTGTTTATAAAGCTATTCGATACAATGGGACATAACCATACAGGGTTCGAAATTCACTATATACAACTCGCAAAACGTGAGTTAGAATTCCCAAATTGCGAGTTAAAAATTAGGTAACTTGCAAAAACTTGCGAGTTGATTTTTTTGCATTGAAACTGTAGCAAAATTCTATAATATGACAGAATACAATGCCTTTGATTTAAATCAGTAATTTAAATAAAAGTCGCACTGTAGTTGTATTTTGTGTATTGTACAGTAGTTACTTTTTCCTTAAGTTACATGTATTTAATTTTTATAAATTTAACTTTATATGAAAATTGCGAGTAGTCTTATAAAATTGCGAGTTCACTTTCTTGGTACTCGCAATTATTTGCGAGTTGTAATTTTTGGGAGTTTCTAACCCTGGGCCATACGTATCTATGTCTTGCGGCGCACAAGGTGATGGATAATTACTAAAAACAAAGGGAATACACCTTTTTCTCAAAAATGTTCAAAAGCACAGAAAAGGGTTGTTAATTAAACTATCTTATTTAAGTTTGTTTTTAGCTCTACTGCGCGGGTATGTTAAGGCTACACCCAGAGATATCCTACTTACCTCTTCAATATGACGTCATAGTAAGCTGTATGACGTGAAGTATAGAAATAATGATTTCTTAATATATATATTTAAAGTTTAATTTCAGGTCCAAGAAATGAATGGAGTCATTCAAAAACATAATACAAGCAAAATCTTGTCGTTTTTGGGTGGTATAAATAGCTAAGTATTTCTCATGGGGGTTCAATACCAAACCCATGACGTCATAACTACTGATCAAATATTTGCCGAGTGAAAATTAAACGTGACGAGAATTCATGTAAACAAGTATATAAAATGGAAGTTTTAAAGCATATACCGTGAATGTTATGTGTGATTCATAAGGAATCAAAGATTAAGAATCAGGTACGCTGATATTTTCTTATCATGTTTTCTTATTATGAACACAGGTAGTGCTTTGAAATCCCGATCAGCCTTTCCTCTGTCGTTCTATAACAACAAAGTTGCAAAAGTTCAACACTACGCCGCATACTTTGAGACATAATTTTTGTTTGTATCGAAAGCTTGTATTCTATAGTACTTGGAAAGTGCTGCTAGAATCGTATGATTAACATGAATTGTTGACAATTCCTTGATCGTTTGTACAAAATGTAATTATTTTGGTAAGGTTTCATGTGAAACTTTGGAATAATTTATTCTGTGTCGGGAGAGTAGGATTCTAGCAGCACTTTTCATGACCCAGTGATGTTTTTACATAATCATTTTTACAAAAAGAAATGAATTATCCTTGGGGTAGTGTTGAACTTTTCACTTTTTCATTAAGGCAATTTTTCTATTTATAGACGTCACGTGATAACGTCGTAGTGGAGTGCTTCTTTTAGCCTAAGACTCAATGACGTCTATACAATGGATAATAACAGTAAATGTTTTATCTATGGCTTTTCCGATTTATCGATGTTACACTACAAAATGCAGTAGAGTGTACAATGATACATAATTTAGTGCATCGGTTTTTGATCTCGATGAATGTTGTTTCCATGGTTACTAAAAATAGAAATTTCTGTGAAATTCCTTTAAAACACTACTCCTCCTAGAGTTTTGGTCTGATTTCAATCTAATTTGGCACACGATTGGAATACACTACGATACATAATATGTATTTCGGTTTTTGATTTCAGTGAATGGTGTTGTCATGGTTACTAAAAATAGAAATTTCTTTGAAATACTTTCAAAATGCTATTCCTCCTACAGTTTTTGTTTGATTTCAATATAACTTGGCACAGAAGTAGACTACATTAAGATACATGTTTCAAAGTTTCAAGTCCAAGTGCTACTTTGTTATACGTGCACACCAGTAGAGCTACAATCTCATCAGAGACTTCTGGTTTATATATCTCTTTTAAATAATCTCATGGTACATATGTTCACAATGTTCTGTCTATTTTTTGCTTAGACAGCATAAAGTTGTGAAAAAAATTATTAATTAAATTAAATTTATTAAATTATTCTATTTTGAATAGCTTTTAAGAGCTATATAGCTTTATCACTGATCAAGATATTGTGTTAGAACTGGTCAGTAGCGTAAATTTTCATAGACATTGCATTTTTGATATTGGAATTAGAGTTTAGCATTGCATTTCTTTCAGGAAGCTAGGCGACAATCTGGAAACAATGTGAAGATTGACGATTTGTACCTGAACAACGAGAGACTGGCTGATGACAGGTCATTGTATTCAAAGTTTTATTAAAAATAAGTGGTACATGTATACCGGTAATATATTAGTATCTAATTCAATTTGAAACTTTACTGCACCAACCTGTACCTAATATTACAAGTTCAATGCCAATGTGTCAGTACTGTTAGAAATCATCAGTTAAGTTTGATATTCAGTTTAACATACCGATATATAATAATATGCAAATTACATTTGAGAAAAAGTTTGCATTATGATTTCTAAAGATGAAATATTTTTATTTACTGAGGAGAAAATCAAACAAAATCCTAATAAATTAACAAATCAGCTGAACATCAGTCTTGTAAACTGCAGGGATCCTTTAATAGGATTCGGCAATAATAAACAAAGTTTAAAAAAAAAAGAAATTAGTGGATAATTTTAAAAAAAGAATAGTTTTCAATTCAAGGAATTGACTAATTTTTAGCTCTACTGGTCAGAGACCAGAAGAGCTTATGCAATAGTAAGGTGTCCGTCCTCCTCTGTCTGTCTAGCTGTCCGGCTGTCTGTAAACAATTTTTCGAAATGCTACTCCTCCTACAGTTTTGGTCTGATTTCAATATAACTTGGTACACAAGTAGAGTACACTAAGATACATAATTTAGTGCATCAGTTTTTGATTTCGATGAACGGTGTTGCCATGGTTACTAAAAATAGAAATTTCTGTGAAATTCCTTAAAAACACTTCTCCTCCAACAGTTTTTAGCTCACCTGAGCTGAAAGCTCAAGTGAGCTTTTCTGATCACATTTTGTCTGTAGTCCGTCTGTCCGTCTGTCTGTAAACTTTTCACATTTTCGACTTCTTCTCCAGAACCACTGGGCCAATTTCAACCAAACTTGCCAGAAAGCATCCTTGGGTGAAGGGGATTCAAGTTTGTTCAAATGAAGGGCCACGCCCTCCTTCAAGGGGAGATAATTAAGAATTAGTGAAAAATGAATAGCATCTTTAAAAAATCTTCTTCTCAAGAACCACAGGGCCAGGAAAGATGAAACTCATATGGAAGCATCCCCAGGTAGTGTAGATTCAAATTTGTTCAAATCATGACCCCCGGGGGTAGGGCGGGGCCACAATGGAGGATCAAAGTTTTACATAGAAATATATAGGAAAAATCTTTAAAAAATCTTCTTCTCAAGAACAGTAAAGCCATGAAGAGTCATATTTATATGGAAGCATCCCCAGGTAGTGTAGATTCAAGTTTGTTCAAATCATGACCCCCGGGGGTAGGGCGGGGCCACAATGGAGGATCAAAGCTTTACATAGAAATATATAGGAAAAATCTTTAAAAATCTTCTTCTCAAGAACAGTAAAGCCAGGAAGAGTCATATTTATATGGAAGCATCCCCAGGTAGTGTAGATTCAATTTTGTTCAAATCATGACCCCCGGGGGTAGGGCGGGGCCACAATGGAGGATCAAAGTTTTACATAGAAATATATAGGAAAAATCTTTAAAAATTTTCTTCTCAAGAACAGTAAAGCCATGAATAGTCATATTTATATGGAAGCATCCCCAGGTAGTGTAGATTCAATTTTGTTCAAATCATGACCCCCAGGGGTAGGGCGGGGCCACAATGGAGGATCAAAGTTTTACATAGAAATATATAGGAAAAATCTTTAAAAATCTTCTTCTCAAGAACAGTAAAGCCAGGAAGAGTCATATTTATATGGAAGCATCCCCAGGTAGTGTAGATTCAAATTTGTTCAAATCATGACCCCCGGGGGTAGGGCGGGGCCACAATGGAGGATCAAAGCTTTACATAGAAATATATAGGAAAAATCTTTAAAAATCTTCTTTTCAAGAACAGTAAAGCCATGAAGAGTCATATTTATATGGAAGCATCCCCAGGTAGTGTAGATTCAAGTTTGTTCAAATCATGACCCCCGGGGGTAGGGCGGGGCCACAATGGAGGATCAAAGTTTTACATAGAAATATATAGGAAAAATCTTTAAAAATTTTCTTCTCAAGAACAGTAAAGCCATGAATAGTCATATTTATATGGAAGCATCCCCAGGTAGTGTAGATTCAATTTTGTTCAAATCATGACCCCCGGGGGTAGGGCGGGGCCACAATGGAGGATCAAAGTTTTACATAGAAATATATAGGAAAAATCTTTAAAAATCTTCTTCTCAAGAACAGTAAAGCCAGGAAGAGTCATATTTATATGGATGCATCCTCAGGATGTGTAGATTCAAGTTTGTTCAAATCATGACCCCCGGGGGTAGGGCGGGGCCACAATGGAGGATCCAAATTTTACTTAGAAATATATAGGAAAAATCTTTAAAAATCTTCTTTTCAAGAACAGTAAAGCCATGAAGAGTCATATTTATATGGAAGCATCCTCAGGAAGTGTAGATTCAATTTTGTTCAAATCATGGCTCCCGGGGGTAGGGCGGGGCCACAATGGAGGATCAAAGTTTTACGTAGAAATATATAGGAAAAATCTTCTTCTCAAGAACAGCAAAGCCATGATGAGTCAAATTTATATGGAAGCATCCTCAGGTAGTGTAGATTCAATTTTGTTCATATGTTGACCCCCGGGGGTAGGGTGGGGCCCAATGGGGAATCGAAAGTTTTACATAAGAACATATAGAAAAAAAAAAATTTCTCAAGAACAGAAAAGCTATGTTAGTCTTATTGATATGGAAGCATCTTCGGGTAATGTAGATTCAAGTTTGTTCAAATGATGACCCCTGAGATAGGGAGGAGCTACAAAGGGGGATCAAATTTTTACAAAGGAAGAAATGGGAAAATTCTTTTAAAATCTTCTCAAGTACAACAAATTCATTTGTTATATTGACATGAGTCCCTCAGGTGACCTATTGCTATCTGTTTTTGTCCTTTGTCGTGTGTTAACATTTAAACATTTTCAGCTTATTCTCTGAAACCGCTCAACCAAAGTCAACCAAATTTGGTATATAGCATCTATGGGTGAAGGGGAACAAAAATTGTGAATTTCATGGTCCCTGCCCCCCTGGGGCCTGAAGGGTGGGGCTAAAACCACTAAAATTAATGCAATCTTTAAAAATCTTCTTCTTTACTCCTGGACATCAAGCAGTCAAACTGTTGGCATGATTGTAATCAGCATTGAGCCCTCTACCAAAATTGTGAAATTCATGGCCCCAGGGTTAGGGGTTCTGGTGCTAGGGTGGGGCTATATAGATCATATAGTGAAAGTGCATTATTTCTTTGAAAATCTTCTTCTCTGCTCCTGGGTATTAGATGAACTAACTAACTACATAGTTATGTTGAGCATAGCTGCCTCTTCCAAAATTGTGAATTTCATGGCCCCTGGGTTGGGGTTCTGGTGTTAGGGCGGGGCTCTATTGATTATAATGAAAATGCATTATATCTTTGAAAATTGTCTTCTCTGCTCCAGGGTATTAAGTAAATTAACTAAGTACATAGTTATGATGAGCATAGCTGCCTCTTCCAAAATTGTGAATTTCATGGCCCCTGGGTCAGGGGTTCTGGTGTTAGGGTGGGGCTCTATTGATTATGTAGTGAAAATGCATTATATCTTTGAAAATCTTCTTCTCTGCTCTTGGGTATGAACTAAACTAACTAAGTACATAATTATAATAAGCATGACTGCCTCTTCCAAAATTGTGAATTTCATGGCCCCTGGGTCATGGGTTCTGGTGTTAGGGTGGGGCTCTATTGATTATGTAGTGAAAATGCATTATATCTTTGAAAATCTTCTTCTTTGCTCATGGGAATTAACTAAATTAACTTAGTATAGTTATGATGAGCATAGGTGCTTCTTTCAAAAGTGTGAATTTCATGGCCCCTGGGTCAGGGGTTCTGGTGTAAGGGTGGGGCTCTATTGATTATATAGTGAAAATGCATTAAATCTTTGAAAATCTTCTCCTCTGCTCCTGGGTATGAAATAAACTAACTAAGTACATAGTTATAATGAGCATGACTGCCTCTTCCAAAATTGTGAATTTCATGGCCCCTGGGTCTGGGGTTCTGATGAAGGGGGGGGGGCTCTATTGATTATATAGTGAAAATTAATAATTTCTTTCAGAATATTTTTTCTACTCCTGGTTATAAAGCAAAGAAACAAGTGTATAGTTATGATGAGCAGGAATGCTTTTACAAAATTTTTCAAACTTGTGGTCCCAGGAGTTCTGATGTTTCTCTAGGGGGGGGGGGGGGGGCTCTATTTGATTATATAGTGAAAATGTGTGAATTCTTTGAAAATCTTCAACTAATTGCATAGTTATGATGATGAGAGTACCTCTTCCAAATCTGTAAATTTTCATGACCCAAGGTCATGGGTTCTGGTGTTAGGGTAGGGCTGTGTTATGGCCAGGAACACCGCAAGTTCCTTTACAGTACCGTCGTCAGAGACCTTTAAAGTTAAGCACCAAAACTGGTTCGTTGTCATGATCTCACAGGTGAGGTTAAGATAATGTCAGTCCGGTGTCATTCAAAATATACAAGAATTTTTACTGAATGCATAAAAATCATGTTTTTGTTCAATTCCAGGAATACACTTAAGTATTGGGAAACAGATACAGCATTCAGTATTCATGACAAAAAGTCATGTCTCTGTTATCCTAAATATATTCCGAGTAGTTTTGATTGGCGAATACATACCATGGTGCAAGAGCATGGAAGTGCAATGAAAAAATATATATTTTTTGTTGTCAATTTATTTAAAAAGCACTTTAATTTCGTAGTTTGAAAAGTAGCTCTATTTTCATTTCATTAGACATATTACAGCCTTTTGCAGAACACATACTATATGAGAACTTGACATTTATAAGCAAAATGTCCGTTGTCAGTGCATGTTAAGTTGATATGGTCCGGTCACTTGTCTAAACATATAAGTCTGTCTATGAAATGGTGCGGAAATGATCAGATTTATTTATTCTTAAGGCACATAATATCGGGAGAGGGGGTGGTCCCGAGCTTAAACGTATACCGTTTATTTAATTAGTATGAAAGTAGTCTTTGAAAGGTCAGTTGCCCGAGCCCCCCTCCCC